TGTCTTTAATGTTCTTTGGTTCTTGTTTCTGGTCTACTACGTGGGCTAGAAAGGCATGGTATTCCTTGCGAAGATATTTTCGTGCTTTAACACAGGAGATGATTTGCAAATTTGAACTAGGTTTGTCTCCATATATGATAAGATTTTCACCGTTGGGTAGATTGAGACGAACGGCCTTTTCATGGCAAAGAATGTCGGCATGGTGAAGACTCAACCAGTCCATACCGATGATTACATCAAAACTTCTTATCGAAATGGGCATAAGGTCGATTTGAAATAAGTGTTCGTTTAAATTTAATGTGCACCCTACGTACATATCACTTGTGCTTTCTGTTTTTCCATTAGCCATTTCTACAGTGAATATTTTATTAAGTGGTTGGGGTCTTTGGTTAAGTAGGTGTTTGAATTTATGACTCACAAAACTTCTCTCCGCACCGCAGTCAAAGAGTATGCATGCATAAATGTTGTCGAGGAGAAACGTACCCGTAACTACTGTTGGATCAGTTATTGCTTCATTTTGACCTATCGCCAGCACTCTCCCAATACCACCAACATTCCTTGTCTTGGGGCAGTCCCTCTTGAAATGCCCAGTTTCTCCACATCCATAACATGCTTGGCTTATCCCAGTACCAGGAACTTGAGTGACTGGTCGCGCTGGCGCTTTACAGAAACGGGCAGTGTGCCCTTTCCTGTCGCAGTTCTTACAGTACATCTCGCGGCAATTACCGTGGTGATGGTAGTTGCATTTGCTGCACTTGGGCAAGTTCCTTGCATATTGTTTCATTGGCACCGGGGTTGTAGGAGTTGTGGCGGGAGCAGTAGCAGCATGAACCGCCACCATTTGTTTCTTTGAAGGTTCTTGCGAGGTTTGCCCCTTTCTCTTGTTCCAGAATTTCTTCTTGCTTTTGTTGTTGTTATTGTTGTCGTTGTTCCCTTTGGTTGGTTCAGCTACGATAGTCGTGACTCCTTGGCAGACGCCATGATCAACGAGAGATTGCGCCAGTTCCTTGGCGCTGTCGAAGGTCATGGGCTTGGAAGCTAACACACTTCCTCGAAGTTGGGGTGATAGTCCCCAGATGTACCTCTCCACTTTTTGGCTTTCTAGAATCAACATCCCTGGACAAAGTGTTATCAAATCACTGAACCTGTTGGTGTAGCCTGCGATGTCCGAGCCTACCATCGAAAGGCCCCACAGTTCTTGTTCAAGCTTCTGAATCTCGCCTCTTGGGCAGTATTCTCGTAGAAGCATTCGTTTCAGGTTTTCCCAACCCATGGAGTTCGCCACCACTAGGGTTAGTGTCTTGACGTGGCCGTTCCACCACGTTAGTGCGCGTTCAGCGAAAGTAAAAGCAGCAAATTTTACTTTGCTTTCTTCAGGGCATGCGCAAATTTCGAATACGGCTTCCATTTTCTCTATCCATTGGGACAGAGCCAATACTCCCCCAGTCCCATAAAAGGGAATAGGTTTTCCATTGGTGAAGTCTTTGTAAGTGCAGACTCCGGAACGGCCTTGGCTTGGGCCATTTGTAAAGCTGTTTATTCCTCCTCCTGACCCATTGTTGCTCATTTGAGCCATCGCCGCGGTTACAGCGGCTGTTACAGCAGTTTGGAACATAGCTGCATCCATAGTTGGAGGGGGTGGTGGAGGTGGTGCTGGAGTTGAGTTTCTGCGTGTTGATCTACGAGGAGGCATGTTCTGGTAGAGAAAAATAAGAATGAATACTATAAGTTTCTAAGGTTTGGACAATAGTATGTTAGTTGTATTTTGTAACTTGTTTTGACTTTAGTTTATGGTTTCAGGGTAGGCATAGAAATTTTTAGTTGAACCCATAAGTTTCCGAGAGATATAATAAAGAAGTACTTATATTATATATATATATATATATATATATATATATATATATATATATATATATATATATATATATATATTGGTCACACCCGTGGTGTGTTACATATCTTGCTTGGGAAAATTTGACCTACCTAGAGGTCTCCGATTACAGTTACAAAAAGGAAATAAGCGAAAAGGAAAAAAAAAAAAGAAAACTTTTATCCGAAATCCTATTTTATAACAAAATTGTTGGGGCTTGAACAAGCTCTACTTGTGGCGTTTGGAGCTGGATTCGGCATCCGACCGTTTGACTCCCATCAGTCGCCTCTCGAGATCTGCTTGTTGTTCTTTCATCTCTCTTATTTCATCTAGAGCCGTTATCATTTGGTTCTGAAGTGTCCCCGTGTAGATTTGGGTATTCTCATGTAGTCCTTCCAAACGGCGGATGTCAGCGGCGTTACCTTGGGTAGCAGCATTGATCTCGCGAACTTTGGCTGCTTGTTGGTCCGCCTGGTAGTTCTGGTTAGCTATAGCGTTCACGACAACAGGAAGTGCTCAATCGGCTGAGCCTCCCCCCGCTGACGTTGTAAAAATCCTGACACATGCCGAATGGAGGGCGTACACCTTGCTGACGGCTCCAGTAGTAGAGGTGGCTTCCCCAGATGGGGATGGGTCCTGGTTGATATGGTCTGATTATGGGAGGATGGGGGATGGGAGGGTCGATTACTTCCGGTTCGGAGTCGGTTCCGCTAGAAATTTCCACGATCTCCTCGTCAACTTCGTATTCTTCTCCGACTTCGATTTCAAATTCTTCTTCGACTCCCTCCTCGAACTCTTCTTCGACCTTTTCTTCAATTTCCTCCCTCCTCGAACTCTTCTTCGACCTTTTCTTCAATTTCCTCTGGGTCTTCCTCCGGGTCTTCTTCTATCCAGCCGCCGTTACCTTGGTTTAGGTAGTAGGGGTCTCCCGGTAAAGGAAATCCGGCCATTTGTCTGTACTGGGATGGAGGTATGAGATTTTTATAAGAAAAGAAATTTCTATTTAACGACTTCCTATGCCTATCTATATTTTTACGGAGCGCAAATATTTTATCGTCCAATTATTTTTAACAATAGACTTATAGTATTTCAATTTAGCGAATCCAGATTTTTATAAGTTTTTGGCTTGTTGACTACTACGACCATTCCTCGACGTACATTGGTCAAATCCAGGATAAATATAGTTGATCAAGCTATATTTATTCTCGATTTGATTACATACCCCAAGGCCCAATCGTGGTATTGCAACTTGCCTTAATACTTTTTAGAAAAACTTGTCATGATACGAGACTGATACATGCAGGTAAAAATGTATATATTTAAAAGAAAATATATTTCTATGAAAATGTTTTGTCAGAGGGTTTTTGGTTCCCGTTGTATTTATAGTTTGTATATCTTATGTGGTTTGATATACTTAGTTCACTATAAACAATGCTCTGATACCAATCTGTCACAACCCCAAACCAGAATGGCGGAAACATTCGGGGGTGGATGACTTCACGTAGTATCACAACAATTGAATATTGTAAAGAAAGTAACACAACCATCATATATATATATAAAGAAAACGTATATTGTTGCGTTATACATGTTATCAAAAGAATATTACAATATGATGATAAATGTTCAATAATAAAAACATCCTTAGTGTTCCTTCTCCCAAAAGCTGGTAGTTACCTGTATCACTGATTCCCTGAGAAATACAAGTGGTTTTTAAAAAGTGTCAACAATTAAGTTGGTGAGTTCATGAGTGTTTCGAGTTGAAAAGTATAACCTTTTTGGTAGGGTAAACGAGGTTTTCAGAAAATCCAATATTTTCTTGTAAGTGATTCAAAAAGTTTCCAAAGTTGGAATGTGTTGGTATCTTTTATACTTGAATGATAAAAACAACTTTGTATGAAAAATAATGTAGAAAACTGCAATGCACATATGAATCTCGTAAATCAATCTTGTTTTATACTTTTTATGTGAGTTTTATAACCATACTATTGACACTGACGGCCTGTAACAACATTCTTCAGGTGTTGCAGTGTTATGACATTTGTCACCCCAGACCTGCCGGTCAACTATAGCTAGTAGTTTAGGTGCGGGTTGTCAATCCCGTATAGATCTATACACAAGTATCACGCTCTCCCTCCAAGAGATTATGGTATATAATACAGGACTTGAAATGCATACATAAATGTACGTTGAAGTTTGAATATCTCACATTGCTTAGTATAAATAGATTTACAATGAAATGACCTTACTTCTTTTGAAAGTGTTTCGTTTTTCAAGATGTATATGTAAAATGTACGACTGACTCGTTAACTATACCCATTATAGTTTTTCAGATAGTATGTTCCATTTGGTGAAAATAACTTAGTGATATAATAGCTCTTGTATACATAAGTTGTTTGTATCGATATTCGAAGATAGAAATTTCATTTATGTTTATAAAACGATACTTTAACATGTAATGTACTTGTATTCCCCCTAAAACATGAAAAGAATAAAAGAATTGAAAAGTAGGGGTATGAACTCACTCGTTAGGTTTGAAGAGAGAGGCTAGAGTTGAGTAGAACTTCGACCGCGGATAGTTGCGTTGGGCTCTTCGGGGATCTTTGCAGCGTAAATCTTTCGTCGGGGGCTCGATGCGGAAACCGAGGTGAGGGAATGGTCTCTGGAGCTTAGAAGTATGAAGAATGACTGAGGAATTGTGAATGGTGTGCAAAAACTTGAGCTTATGCCATCTATTTATAGGGCGCTGGAAACCCCCGTACGCGGCGGCGTACCTTCGAAGTAGCGGGGCGTACCTCGGTTACGCGGG